AACTTTAAGTAGTTTGTAAGATAAAGTAAGTTAATTCTAAGATAGAAAATTGAACACTATGTGCGCGTTTCTTAATAAAATACCTTGAAAAATTATTCAGATTCTATGGTAGATATGAAAGTTCCATTTAACATGAAATTTTAACATCGATCTGTCAATAGCAAATTAGCAATCAATTGCCTACGAAACACAAAGAAGAATTTCTTCAATTTTCTGGCATAAAATTTCACAAGAAGTAGCAGTAAAGGAAGATTAAATAAGAAATGCAATTCTGTGACAAATTTTTCCCAAACAGTGTTTTTAATGTGTTACACAATAAAAAGTTACATTACGTGGTAAGATACTGTATCTCATCTTATATATTTTACTTTTCAAACATTTGTATCAGACTTTTCTGCGATTTTTCAATTGCATTACGCATTGTTGCAATAATTTCTATCGTTACATTTAATTCTAATTGTTTAGCAGCTTTTCTGCTGCTATCGACCCTACATTTTACTGACACTTGTGGAATCGACCTTACATTTTTTTTTTTTACGTGGAGGTAGGCCTACTCTATGTGATAAACAATTGGCAACCAAACGGTGGCTCTCCCTCTACATTCGACGGATAATGTGTACTGGTATTTAATGTAATTTCTTAGCAATTTGTTTTGGTAATTTATCCAAAGCGATATATTATGAAATTAAATTAATCACTCAATAAGTTTTAACGTTAGATTGTTTCCTCGATATGGCCATGGTGGTCAAATGGAGTGCCTCAAATGTTTAGAATAATTAAAATAAAATAAATGTTGTCAACTAAAAATTTTGAACGTCATAGCTAGCTAGACATTATTTTCAATTGAATAAAAAAATTATAAAGCACAATACTATAATCCTATGCTTAGAATGTATTTTCTTGTGGCCGCCTGACAGCAACCTGTAAATCTGGCGCGACAGTGAACGTGTTAATAAGTAAATGTTGTTCAAATTATATCGTGTTTGATATCATTTTCATCAGAAAAATCTCACCAACATGTTAAAAAAAATTCCAGTTGAAAAAAAGTAAAATTAAAGAAATTATATTTTTCTATTATGACTTGACGAGCCGGGTAATCTTGTAAAGGAAACCGACTGGTGTAGCTTTACACGCTTGACCGTCTGCGAACGAGATAACATGGGTGCAGCAATGACGCAGACTTTGGTGTAGGACCATCTATACTGTCACTTGTAGAATCCAAACTTACTGACTCTTGTAGAGAATGTAGGGTACTATATACTTTATTTTATTTGTAGTCTTGCTTGCGTACAAAATACGGTACGTCATGATACACCGACTGAACTGCATGGTTTACGGTTGAAGAGGTTCAATTGCTTTTTAAACAAATTTCAGAACTTTTTACGGGGACACATGAGAAATTAATTCTAGTTAGTTGTAAGCTAAAAGTTTACAACGCAAATACAGGAATTTCTTAAAATGATCAGTTTTTTTTCTGTGGAAATTTGAAATTTGTATGGTAATCGACAACAAAAATAGTGAACATTTTGTATAAGGTATTGCAACTAAAATTTGTCTTGGACTTCACCTTAACTTATTTCTTCCAATTATTCTGTA